GCGCGAGGGCCTCGATGGCCTCCCGCAACCCCTGGATCCAAACCGCCTCGCGTTCGAGGGATTCGCGAAGCGCGCGGCGGCACGCGGCGTCGCCGTGGCGGTTCGACCCCCCGTCCTCCCCGACCCCAAAGGACGGGCGATCCAACGGGAAGGGCAGCGACGGCAGCCCGGAGGCCGGGGCCTCGGCGGGCGTGGAAGAAGAGGGGGGGGGTTCCGCGCGAGTCGCCACGTCCACGTTCGACATCGACCACCGGAATCGCTTGCTAGGCCCTTCTCCTCTGCGTAACAGTCTGTGCGAAAAGGTATCGCGCGCTAATCGAACTTTGGAAGGAAGAGGTTATATAAATATATATATATTTTTTTGGAGGGGGGGGGGAGGGGTAGGAAAATATGTAGACAAGAAGAAGAAATGAGGCTCAGAGAGCAGGGCATGTGGTGGATATCGTAAGCCACAGCGTTGTATGGGGGAAATGGATGAGATGATTCCAAAGTGGGATTTTGGACGCCAGAAGCTTGGCTTACCAATGGGGTGATGCTTCAAACACACCGGTGGTCGCTATTCATTCTAAACAAATGGTCGTGTCCTTACTGGTTGCAGCATTGAAGGTGCTGCACTTACCCCTACGCGAATAATAAACAAGTTGAGAATGAAATGTTGGGTAATATGCATCCATATGTGTATGGTATCAACACGAAGAAGGCGACGCAAATGCTGAGTTTGTGGTAACGAGCATTATTCGATTATATACTCTCAAAAAAAAAAAGGAAGATATAAACGAGTCCATGATAGAAAGGGGGAAAAACGGTCCGCATACAGTGTTTGTGTAAATAGATAAATAAATCGCGGCGTTCGATTCCATAATGATAAAATATATCGCATGTTTTAAAGAGCTCGAAATACGGTCTTCACATCCTGCGTGGCAAAACACAGACATGCTCAATTGTTTCTTTGAACAAGAGCTAACAATAAAGGTTATCCTTGCAAAAAGAAGGAAGGCGGATCCCACTATGGATTGAGAGCATCTGTTGCGGCTGTAAGTGTGCTTCCCACTTTTATTCTTCGTAGGAAATCTTCCTTCTCGGGATCCGTTATAAACGCACGCAGAACACCTTACCTAACACTTTGTTCCCTCCTCTAAGGGTACACGTTTCTTCATGCTGGGCATAATTGAACAGCTTTAATAAAGGAAAAGCGTAAATAAAAAATATATATTTAGTTGGGAGATACATCCAAATAAAAGTACCACCAATTGAATTGATGAATACCATGGAGCAAATGGGGGATTAAGGGCACACAGATACTTATCATGTTGTTTTCCTTCCTTACCTACAGAAATCACGTGTTCGAACAACCTGCTTCACCATTTAGGACACTCTTTAATACGCATCACATAATAGAATGTTAATTAATATTCAATAGGTATTTTATTTCTTGTAATAATTTACTCCATTTTTTTTTAATACAGCGGAAATTTCTTAGTCTGATTCGACCCATTCCATCCATTGCATGTCGGTTAGTTGAGAACTCTACCAAAAAACGATATATAAGAAGAATCAGAAAACACATGCAAGACCGGACCTTGTCAGTGGGCATCGACCTCTAGATAGCCATGTTGATCAGCGTCATACGGCTCCAGCAGAAACTTCGCGAAACTGCGCAGTGACGCTATGCCGCGTACCTCGTTACTCAACAGTGGCATTTTTACGAGGTGGAAATCTTCGTAAAGATCCTCAAGCTGGCTTAGATATTTGGCTTGCATCTTCTGCCGTGCTGCACACATGCGGCATGGCGGCTCCCCAGATGGCTTCAACACAAGTTGATTCACTACTATACTATCGCATCGGATATTGTACTTCATCAAATCTTGGATAAGCCGCTCCGTCTCGTACACGCTCAGAAACTCTGAGATGCAGACGCACACGAAGGCGGTTTTGGCTGCATCGTTGAATTGCTCTTGAACCTTCTGAACCTGACTTCTCCATTCCTCCGCGATGCCGCGCAGCCCTTGCGGGGTTAGCGAACCTGAAGAAGCCACGTCAGAGCCTTCCGCAGATGGTGTCGTCATCACATTTTTCAACACGTGTTCAGCCGCACCCAAGAGCGGCGCGATCCCTTCTAAGTTCATCAGCTTATCGAACGTCGTATTGAGGGTTTGCGGGAGCGCTAACAGGCGCAGTGTATGCCCGGTTGGCGCCGTGTCAAACAGCACTACGTCGAACATCAAATCCTGCACTCCACGCAGGATCTGGGCAAAGACGGATACTTCATCAATCCCAGGGAGGGAGCTGGCGGCATCACGGAGAATATTTCCAAGAGCTGCAAAAGGCGAAACAGCTGCAGACGCAGTAGTCGTACGGGTAGGAGCGCTGGAGGAGCTGCGGGCGTGGCCCTTTTTAGAATCCTCCCCAAAAACATCTTTTCCTTGAGTAAAACTCACAGGGTCGATTTCCATCGCGAACAATGTTGTTTCCATCCCTTTAATGGGTGTAGGGGAGTTACCAATTTTTTGATTCAGTGCATCGCTCAGATTATGAGCAGGGTCCGTTGAAAGTAGCAATACGCGCGGAAAGGTAGACTCGCCAGTGGTGACGTTGTACCTCGGCGTCGATGCAAAGAGGACAGCAAGCGCACACGAGGTGGTAGTCTTCCCTACACCGCCTTTACCACCAATAAAAATCCATTGTAGATTTGACTGAATAAGCTCCTGTAGAGTCGACTCCATAATGTTGAAGCTGTGCTTGCCCTCCTCCCGTTACTTTTTGCTATTGATCGCTTTGTGTGCTATTTCTTCTTTACGGAAAGGAACAAAAGAAGGATACACAAAAAAAAAATAAGGAATAAACTTTCTTTCAATATACCACAAAAATACAATACACATGCTTTCAGCTTACAATACGATAACTTATTGCTGTGCTGCACAAAGCCACCAGAAAAGGACCCCATTGATTGAGATCCTGATAGCCTTGGAATGTAATAATTAGGATGAATGTGCACTAACTTGATGACAGCAAGAATATTCAAGAACACTGTTCATCAAGACCACGCACACAGAGAGATTCACTTCGATTATTTCCTTTCTCAACAATACCGGAGAATTTAAAATGAAAATAGTAATCATCATGCATAATTCTAGCAATACAAACAATAAAGATTTCAGCTAAAATGGAGCTACGAATTCAAACGGGAAGTTGATAACGAATTTCCATATGAAAACTTGACAGCAACGCACTGCAGCCCAGTGAGATCAGCACAATCATCGGCGTCAACACAGACACCCTGTCGGAGTGCGGATTCAACCTTTCCTAACAGACGAAATCAAAATAATACTGACAACATTGCCGGGAAAAAGATGGAATGCTCAAATCAATCTAAATTGAGGATAGCATTACCAAAACGGAGCTGCATAGGCAATGCTCGTGAACTTCACACAAAATCCTTAACATTGCCACTCCACCCAGCAGTTCCCTTCAGCACGGCTGTTCATCGTTACGCAAAATGCACATGTTCCACTACTACCCCTACATTTCTACTTCGTTAGATGGTGCAGTAAGTCAATATGAAAAAGTGGATACAAAATGAAAGGAAGACATCCCTACCTTTTCGTTCCGCACCTTGTGTGGCATTGCACATGACTCTTGCTTTCAGGCAATTGGGAAAACGTGCCTTAAAAAAACGGTACATTCCTATTACCTTAAATCGAACTTGTAAAAGCTAGAAGGTGCTAATATGCTATGCACATATAGGCCCCATTTATTTTCTTATCAGTTCATCCTACTGTGTGTCAGCAAAATAGAAAAGGAAAAGAACAACAGTCTCATAAATACTACACAATGCCCTAATATTGGAGTTGTAAAATGCACTACGAATCAAAACTGCCGCAAGGGACACTATCCAGCTCCCTAATCTATGTTAACAAACTCGCCGATTTTATCGCTTTCTCAAAAAGAAGTTAATAGAAAATGTAAGATAAGTGTTAAAAAGTATTTTTTTTAGGGGCTTAAAGCACAAATGAGAAAAGCAAGTATAATAAATTAATATTTATTTTGTATAAAATATCGTTTTTTAGTTCATTCACGAGCTTCAAGAAAAAACTCTTAAGTGAAAAAAAAATTGTACCTTTTTAATATTTTGTATGAAAAGAAATAGAAAGTCAAGCATAAAAGAATTCTAAGAAGAACCATATCATTTAAACAAATAAATAAATCTGATACCTAATAGCTATTAAATGAAAAAACATTATTGAAAAAATTCCGTATTGTTTGAGATAAAATAGCTGAAAAAAGAGCGAGATCACTATGCCCCAGTCCAGAAATTGTATCAAAT